AACAGAATCAAACCGTTTCTCCCTAAATTAATACACGGAAATCAAAAGGGTTTAATGGCGGGTAGATATTTGGGTGAGAACACAAGACTTTTATATGATATCATACATGTTTGCAATGAAAATAGCACACCAGGCCTAGTTTTAATGGTCGATTTTGAGAAAGCATATGATTCAATATCTTGGAATTTTATTAGGAAGGTCTTAAGTTTTTTCAACTTTGGGGAAAATATAAAGAAGTGGATTGATATATGTTTTACTAATTTTAAGCTATGTGTGATTCAGGGTGGCAATGCCTCATCTTTTTTTAAAATATATCGTGGGTGTAGACAGGGGGATCCAATCTCATCATATTTATTTTTGTTATGCGTAGAGATAATGGGTGCTATGTTTAGAAAAAGTAGAACAGTCAAGGGCATTAAAATTAAAAATAAAGAATATAAGATAATGCAGTATGCAGATGATACTGCAATATTATTGGATGGAACAGAAAAGTCATTAAAAAACACACTTTCACTAATAGACCAATTTGCTAAGTTTTCCGGTTTAAAGCCAAATCACCAAAAACATGCTGCATTAAAATTGGACCATTAAGATTTACGGTGAGAAATTTTAATGCGAACTATGGAATCAAATGGTCCCAAGAACCGTTTACTTTTCTTGGAATTATATTTACTGTAGACTTGGTTAACATGGTTGAATTAAATTTTGAAAACAAGGTAAAGGATATTAAAAATTGATAAAGTCCTGGTCAAGGCGACTATTAAGTGTTACAGGAAAAATTACTGTAGTTAAATCAATAATGCTGTCTAAATTAACACATCTGTTTATAAGCCTACCTAATTTGAGTGAAGAACATATAAAGGATTTAGAAAGTGCATTTTTTAATTTCATATGGAACAATAAGAAGGATAGAATAGCAAGAAATACATTAATTCAAGATTACCAGCATGGTGGATTACGTATGATTTCAGTCAAATGGTTTATTGATAGCTTGAAAGTTTCGTGGTTGAGAAGAATGATGGGCTGTATTAGTATAACATCATGGCATCAATTGTTGTTAGATACAGTACTGTATCATACAATTTTAGGGATCTTGTGAATTTTGGACAGGAATATATAAAGCACATTGAAAAGAAAACCACCAATAGATTTTGGAAAGATGTATTTCGAGCATTCTATAAATTTAGACAAATAATGGATAAGGCTGATTTAGAGTTTTATCAAGGGGTATGGTTTAATAACATGATTAAAATCAATAGTAAAACAATTTATTACAAGAAGTGGCATGAGAAAGGAATAGTACGTGTATTTGATTTTGTAGATGAAAATAATAATTGTTTAAATTATGCCAATTTTTGTAGTAAATTTGATTTCTACCCACCATTCACAATGTTTTATGGTATTGTACAGTGCATCGAGAAAATGATTAGAAATAAGAAAAACATTGATATCTATATGAATATTCCATTTAGACCAAAATTTCTAGAAGTTCTGATGAGAAATCAAAAGGGAGTAAGACCTATATACGATACCTTTGTTACTAGTTTGTATTTTAGACCAAAAAGTGAAATAAAATGGGAAAGTGAGTTGAATGTGTACCACGATGAAAAATGGTGGATGGAAAAGAATAACTCGATTAAGAAGTTGGATGATATGAGCCTTAGATGGTTTCAATATCGACTGGTCCATAGAATCTTAGGAACAAATTCTTTTTTATTTCGGATAAATGTAGTAGAATCATATTTATGTGTATTTTGTAAAAAAGAGGAGGAAACTTTTGTTCATTTGTTTTGGGAATGCGGCAGAATTTCAGAAATCTGGGAACAAGTAAGAGAATGGTTAGAAAATGAGTTAAATATATTAGAAAGATTAAACTGTATTGATATTATATTTGGAAAAGAACAAAGTTTGGTAAATTTAATTATTTGTTTGGTTAAAAAATTTATATATTGCCAGAAAATGACCAAAAGTGTCCCAGATTTCTTGAAAGTAAAAAGTTATATTAATCAATATATGGAAAGTGACTATTTTACTTATAGCAAAAATATGGATAATGATGGTTTTATTAAAAAATGGAAAAAATTAGGAAGTGATTTTGTGAATAGGAAATTTAACAGTTAAGTACCTTTAGAGCTTGTATGTATATATGGGTGTGAGAGTGTTTTGTAATTTTTTTATTTTGAAATAAATTAAAAAAAAAAAAAGTAGGTCAGCAGTGTTGATTTGTTGTCTATGGTTACTTGTTTTGGAGATTTTTGCTACATTAAAGAGGAAAAAAGAATCCTGGGGATCAACTTAAAAAAGTCACTTGTCTTTTTAGCATTCCACTCCAGCTTGTGAACTCCAGCAGCCATTTTTCCTGACACACATGGGCATCATGAAACTGTGGAATTTTCATCGTCCTCCTCTCAAGAAGTATTCCCATGGACCCATGTCTCAGCAAGGACCACAGACCATACTGCCTCTACTGAAAACTATAAAGAAGGAAGGCAAAGGTGAGTTTTGGTTGATGGTTTTAGAAGTAAAATCACACAGATACAGGGGTATGTACTCGTGTTATTGTTGCTTGGTTTTGATCCCTTTTTTTAAGTCAAAAAGTGTGTGACATTAATCTACCAATACTGGTAGAATGGTAAAAACCAACTTCGGCTCTACCACAAAATAACAGGCCAGGGTCCAACTTGTCTTTTCTTTCAAAGTTTGTCAAGTGTGTCGTCTCTGTCAGATTTTTTTATCAGTAATGGTAAAGCCTTGTTCTGACATGTTACTAGTCTTTCTCAACCTGTCATTGGCTTTTGATACTAACTTGTTATAGAAGAGCATTCAAATAAAAGGCACATCCCTTGAATATCTATCAAACATAATTAGATTTAAGACATCAAATAAATATATTTATTTATTTAGTAAAACTTTCCCAAGGCTGGCTTTATTTCTTTTAGAATTATGATGTTGACATAAAATAAATTCAGTTAAGTTAGTTTACATTACGATAAAGTTCCTGTCTGGCTAATATTATTACAGGTTAAATAAACTTTGTAGATATAGTGTTCGCTTTAAATTGAGCCCAGTTCCTATGATGATGCATTTTGGCTGCTGGTTAATTTGATATTGGTCAGACTGTTGTATATTATAACAAAGTGCATATTTAAATCTATATCTTTTCACGCTTGTATATTTATGTATAAATGCAGTAGTATCTCTGCATATTCCAATCACCTACTTCTGTTTGGCCTTGATGGAACGGGAGCAGGGCATATTTCTTGTTACTGTATATACTATTTTATATTGTCAGCTATATGTATGAAGTAGTTAGCTTATATGTATTTTGGTAATGGAATGATCTAAAGTAGTTATACTTATTTAAGCGTATGCGCACAATTTATGTAAAACTGTAGTTTAGAGAGCTTGTAAAATGTAACTGTACACATTTTAATGCTCAATAAATTATTATTATTATTATTATTATTATTATTATTATTATTATTATTATTATTATATACAGCTGTTTGGCTTTAAAGCTGTTTGTATTTCTTATTGCTATAAGATACTGGGAATGATTTGAGTATTCTTAATTTTTCCTCAATGTTTTTTAAAGGAAAGTTTAGATCTTGATACTGCATAAAGGTGGCAGTCTGTGGCTCTAGACAGGGATTAAAAAAGATTATAAATTGCACTGTATTTCAGCAGTTGTAATTCCAACTAGAAATATCAGAAAAATAGTATTTTCACGTCAACTTAGTTTCAAGCAAAATTTATATCTTTTGAATCAAGAGAAAAAGTTGGTATACTTTTCAAAGCAACATTTATTACATAAATTTCACCTTCATTAAAAGTAACACTTAACCATTTGCATTTGAGAAAGTGTTACATTAGAACCCTTGTAGGTAGGTGGTATGTATGTTGTACATAAGTAATGTCCAGATTAAGAATAAGATGTTTTTGGCATGGTAAAACGGTCAGCCCTTCAGTCTCAGACAGATAGTAAGCCATTGGGACTGGTAAGAATGAGGTTCAAGTAAATTCTTTTGACTGAGAATAAATGTTTTTTTAATTTGTTATAAACCATATTTATTTCGCTTTTAAGTTTAATATAATTGAAATGTTAAAAACTGGTACTTATTCATTTGGTCTGACAGTGTCCATAACTTTATAAGTTCATAACTAATGTGATTGAATTTCTAAAAATATAAAATAATGATTATTGGTAGTAAATATAGTTATTTCCACTTCTAAATATGAAATAATAACAGTACTTATGTTGAGTAAATAAAATATATATATATGAATTTATATACATTAATTTTTTAAAAATGAAATAATACTCATCATAATTTTTAAAAACAAATCAATGGCAATAACTATCCCCAAATGGATAAACTTATTATTTGTCATCTGCATTTAATTACCATACACTGTATATGAAGCATTCCAAATTAAATGGACAAGTTTTGTGTACTGATGCACACCAATGTTGTTTCACCTTATTTATTATTACTTAATAACCAGGTTATGTTCTCTTACACGTAGCAGATATGAATAAATACACAGATATATCTTAATAATAAACTACAGTATAAAAACTATACAACATTAATTAAAGTAGATAATAATTATTTATACCATTAGTTACTTCAGTTTCAGCAAGGCTATATATATAATTAAGGAAACACTTAAAATATTTCCTATTGATTTGAATATACCTGTCTGTAGTAATATAGACATTTGATCACCCAACTGCTATTTATTATGTAACCAAATAAATGTATAAATGTATGCGTGTTCAGATACAAACTCACATTAAACACTCTCCAACATAAAGTTCTAACAATAAAGTTTACTATCAAATATAAAAAAGAAAATACATTTCAACTCTTCAGTTGTGAAAAAAATTCATATAGGCAATATAGATCAGGTCCGTAGCCAGTAGTTTAATAAGGGAGGATTTTTTTCTGAAAAAATGACCTTTTAACCATGAAACCTCTGTATACCTAGAATTTATTTTATCTGGCAAAAAGTGCGATTCGATTGACCCCCTCCTCCAGCTTCAGGCCTGAAGATTAATATAAAAATTAAAACATTTGTTACACCAGCACTCCACAGTTGAATTAATCAGTTTATGAACTGCCAGAATTATCTCACTGATACAGTGACCCCTTGCTAATACATAGTGTTTTCAGTCTATGGTGTTTGTGTTCCCACTTTTATGACAGGACTGGTTACAGAAGTAAATAGAAAATTTTACTTATCATATCATAACTATAGCTATTGATGTTGTTCTGCAATTTCACATCCCCATATGCAGAAATAAAATATAATATTATAATATTTAAAATATAATAAAGACAATAGTCTTATATTTGGACACATAGTTTCATGTTCTTTTATCTCAGGATATTTACACACACAAAATGATTAATGAATCCTTTGGGGGGAAAGTGAGTTAGCCATGCACCCACACAAAGTTTGTAGTTAGCGTGGCTGTGCTTATTAACACTATCACTTGGAGAAGTGACCACAGTATACTGGTAGATATTCTTGGAGAATTAAGGACTACATAAATTATTTTGAGAATTTGAGACTATATAAAAATTCTTGGAGAAATAAAGACTACAGATAAATTTCAAAAGAGGTTAAGACTATATAGAAACATAGAGAATTAAGGACTACAGAGATATTTTTTGAAGAAGTTAGGACTATAAATATCCTTTTTTTCTGGGAGAAGTTAGGTCTATGGAAATATTCTTGTAGAAGATAAATATGGATTAATAGACAGATACTGCCAAGAGGTAAAACAAGTGGAGAGCCTTTCAGTGCACCTGAAATTATGGCATAAGTTACCTCAGCACCTAGCTGTGCTTTATTTTATGGGCACAACTGGGGTGAAGAAAGACGAGATGTGCAGTTACATATTTGAAGTGTACTGTGTATAAAAGAGACAGTCTTGTGAATTCAACCTCCTAGTAGAATAATTGCTGAGTAAATTTAAGCATTAATAAATGTCCCTAATGCTTTTAGTAAGACTTAAATTATGGTTACATGTGCTTGATAGAACATAACAGAACTTATCTCCATTTTTTTAAACATTCAAAGCTTGCAGTACAAAATCAACAGTATTGTTATGAGTCGGTATAGAAGGGTGCTTGCAGTCTAACAGCTATTCTCTCATTGTATTCCATTTATTTTTATATGCTAGTATCTTTTATATTCACTCATTAACTCCAGAATTGTTGTGGTAGGTAGCCGTAGCAGAATATTTATACATGTAGGTCCTTGCATTTTGGCACTCCTCACTCATTTCCCCAATTTTTTAAACATATTTTAATGCCTCTTTGGACTGCCCCATCTTCACAAGTAAAGTGAAAATTGATTTGCGTACTGTATCAATATTTGGGTGTTTGGGACCTAGCAGCTCTTTTTGCAGTTTGTGGCATCTTTTTAAATATGGAAGTGCTCTTTCGTAGTCACCCATGGCTTCTAGTAAATAACCAATATTGCCATACAAATAAGCAGTATGAAGGTGTTTGGGGCCTAGCACATCTTCTGTCACTTCTTTGCTTTTTTTAAAATAGTCAAGTGCCTCTTTGTACTTACCCATGTTTTTTAGTAGCGTACCAATATTGTTGTATGAGGCAGCAGTATCAGGGTGTTTGAGACCTAGGACCTCTTCTCTTACTTCAAGACATTTTTTTAAATAGTTGAATGCCTTTTCGTACTTACCCATGGCTTGTAGTACACTACCAATATTGTTGTATGAGGTAGCAGTAACAGGGTGTTTGGGACCTAGGAAACCTTCTTGCACTTCCAGGCATTTTTTATGATAGACAAGTGCCTCTTTGTACTTACCCATTTCTTGTAGTACTCCACCAATATTGTTGTATGATTTAGCAGTGTCAGGGTGTTTGGAACCTAGAAACTCTTCCCTTACCTCCAGGCATTTTTTATGATAGTCAAGTGCCTCTTTGAACCTACACATGACTTGCAGTATGTAGCCAGTATTGTTGTATGAATTAGCTATGTCAGGGTGTTTGGAACCTGGGACCTCTTCCTTTACCTCCAGACATTTTTTATGACAATCAAGTGCCTCTTTGTACTTACCCATGGCTTCCAGTACACAACCAATATTGTCATATGAGGCAGCAGTATGAGGATGTTTGGGACCTAGGACCTCTTCCCTTACTTCTAGACATTTTCTATGATAGTCAAGTGCCTCTTTGTACCTACCCATTCTTCTCAGTACATTTCCAATATTGTTGTATGAGGTAGCAATATCAGGGTGTTTTAGACCTAGGAACTCTTTCTCTATCTGCAGGCACTTTTTAAGATAGTCAAGTGCCTCTTTGTACTCACCCATGTCTTGTAGTATTCCACCAATACTTCTGTATGATTTAGCTGTGTCAGGATGTTTAAGACCTAGGACCTCTTCCTCTACCTGCAGGCAATTTTTAAGATAGTCAAGTGCCTCTTTGTACTCACCCATGTGTTGTAGTATTTCACCAATATTGTAGTGTGATTTAGCTGTTTCAGGATGTTTAGGACCTAGGGACTCTTCCCTTACCTCCAAGCATTTTTTATGATAGTCAAGTGCCTCTTTGTACATGTACATACCCATGTTTCCCAGTACAATACCAATATTGCTGTATGAGGTAGCAGTATCAGGGTGGTTGAGACCTAGGAACTCCTTGTTTACCTCCAGGCATTTTTTGTGATAGTAAAGTGCCTCTTTGTACTCAACCATGGCACCTAGTACTGCACCAATATTGTTGTATGATATAGCAGTATCAGGGTGTTTGAGACCTAAGACCTCTTCCCTTACCTCCAGGCATTTTTTGTGATAGTCATATGCCTGTTTGTACTCACCCATGGCTTGTAGTACAATACCAATATTGTTGTTTGAGGTAGCAGTGTCAGGGTGTTTGAGACCTAGGACCTCCTCCTTTACCTCTAGGGATTTTTTATGATAGCCAAGTGCCTCTTTGTACTTACCCATGTTTCTCAGTACACAACCAATATCGTTGCGTATGTCTGCTTCTTCAATTGTTTGACCTTCAAAATTTATGTTTAATTCTCTCTCAATTGACTGAAAAATTGATAGAGCTTCTTGATATAGATATAGAACACTGAATGTATTTGCAATCAATTGTAGGTTATAGAGATTTTGTTTATTCTGCTGTATGTCAGAAGTGCAGAGTTCCATTTTAAGCAAGGTGGCAGTCATATGTAAATGGGGCACTAGTTTTGACATATTTTCAAAAAGTGAAGCTTTAATATTATGCACAATGTATAGCTGGCGCATACACCATATGTAATAATCACAGTATTTCTTTTGTGTGTGAGTGATTTCATTGCTGTCAGTTTGTGCAAGAAACTCTGCATGCTCCTTCACCAAAGGATGCAAATCATAGGTATTTTGGACCAAATTCAAAAGTGACTTATTGCTAAGACTGTCAAGGACAGATTCACATTCATCCTCATCCATCTCCAAAATCTCTGAGACTTCTTCTGAATTGAATGCAACAGGAAATATATGCAGTCCCCTAAACACCCTTTTCTCTGTGTCATTCAGTGTTTCGTAAGACATCTCTAGGCAGGTAAGCATACCTTGGGAGGCTGGAATGTTAGGTAACTGAAGAGAGGGGAGGACCTTTGTGCGTTTCATTTTCTCTAACACTTTATGTACTGTTTTGAGCTTGATCTGGGTAGCTGCTAATTTTAATGCAAGGGGATTGTGGCCACATCTCTCTGATATTTCACCTAAAGCTTCTGTCTCACTATCCGTGGGGCTGATTGTATATCCCTCCCAAAGGACTTCCCGTGAAGATGTTTTATCAAGAGGAGGGATGTCTATAGTAACTGTGGTTTGTGACAGAAGACTGAAGGATTCACGACTGGTGCATAAAAGAGTGATGTGTTTTGATGAATTCAGGACTTCCTCTAGTAACTGTAGAAACTCTTGCTGGCGTGAACTCAAAATGCTGTCATTATTATCAAGGATAAGGAGAGTGTCTGTTGCTAAATTAGACATAGTTTGTGTGAATTTGTTCTGATAATCGCTGTAAATATCTTTCAAAAACTGATTTGGGTGAAAATGCTGCACAAGTGATAATTTAACAGAATCAAGATTTACAACTTTTCTCATATCAATATACAAGACATCTTTTCTGACATCATTTCTGTGATGTCCAACCTCAACAACTATGCTTGTTTTACCTATGCCCCCCATGCCAGTCAGGAGAATGAGTTTTGTGTCATTTTCAACATGCTGCAGTATTTTCTGCACCAGGTCCACTCGTCCCTTCAGCTCTGGATTTCTGTTTGGAAGGTTAGTAGAGATGAGCTCACAAGGTGCTTCTGAAATTAAAAGTAAACATGCAAGAAAAATCTTAACTTTCATGCAAAAAAAAAAAAAGATTATATTAAAATTATAATTTAACTTAATTTTAGTATTGGGTTAGAGGTCTGAAAGGTAGATTTGATATTATAAAACGGATGTCTGGGGAAGTGAATTTTGTACTTATTTCTCAACTTCAATATCCTTCTTTAAGTTTATACCTTGGGGAACATGCAGCAGAGCACAATCCCAAGTGTACTATGAAGAATAGTTCCTCTCATTGTGCACATTTCTTCAAAGTACACTCGTGACTTTAAACTAAAAGTTGTCTTTATTTATATGCTGGTGGACAGTCAGTATAATAGAGCACAGTCCCTATTAGCCAAAAAGAGCAGTTTCTCTCACTATTCTTCACAGTACACTTGTTATCTGTTAAATATGTCATACCTGCTGCATGCAATGGATCTGTAAGCAACTTGTCATAGTCATCACTGGTGTAGATTGTGGACAGTGATAACAACAAAGCTTTCAATTCTTTAAACTGTGTCTGAAATGCAGCATCTGTGAGACTGGCGCCCCCATGGGAAATTTTGTTGCGGTATTTCTTTACTCTGCCAATCTGGGCTTCCATGGACATGTCACTTGTCGGTGGATTCTCCCAACTGCCCTTTGGGTTTAGTGTTGTGATATTTCTTAACAAGACTACTGTAAGAGTCACATCTAAGGCCTTCAGTGTAACAGTTGTAGAGGGATTCCCAGAAGGGTATAGAAGCTTCATTTGGCTTGCATTCAAAACTTTCATTTTTTTCAACTGTAGCAAAGTTTGATTTGCCTTTTGGTCAGTTAAAATGTCAAACAACTTGCCACCATTTGACGGATCAAACAACCCTGGATAAGTTGTTTGTAACTGTGTACTGAGGACATCTTGAAGCACATCTTGTGACCGATGTATCATTAGCCCCATACGCATTGTGTTTTCTATCTCATTCTGTGGAATGGCAGCAGTCGCCATTTTGTCTTGGTTCTGGAAAAATATAATGTCTCAGTGTGAAACAAGGAGGCACTGGTAAAGGTGTTGCTGGCTTTTGTAAACCACCACAAGTAAGTGGGAAATTTTGCTTGAACACTTAATTAAAAAAGGAAACCCTTTGCTCATTTATTCTCTTCTTTAGAAAAGTCATACTTAATATAGTTCTTTGGGAGAGACATGGCATATTTTATTTAGGTGGTCCTGAAATCCTTTTCTTTTTAAAGAAATCTTAAAAGCAAATTTGGTACGAATTGTCATTGGTAAAGGCATAATTAAGTTAATTTAAAACGATGAAACATGAGTCATGTTGTCTTTCATTACTACAAAATGTTGAGAAAATGTTGGTTTTAAGAATATTATGAATAGATAAAAAAGTATTCAGAAGTGAAACAAGGAAGTACAGGATGAATCCAGAAGTGAAACTATCAAGTATAGAATGTACCAAGTTGGATTCGTATATAAATGTGATTACTGTATAGAAATGATTTGAGTGCACACTAGCTAATATCTGGTGATAAAATTTTAAATAAATTGCTGTCTTAAACTCACCTTGAAATGGATAAAGAAAAACCTTGCTGGGGCGAATGAGAACTATACGCCTCTGTCACCTGATGTAAGGTTGTCATGTGACATACGGTGTTCACAGTTAAAAAGAACTTTTTTTTATCTAAAGAAAAGATTTAGCCACAAAATTATGCAAAATCTAACTTTGAATTGGTAGACAAAGACAAAGTCAACTTCTAATCAACCTTTCCTTCCTTGGAAAATTTTCAATATTGTATCATCATCAATTTAAACTATTGGACACAGAAATGTCACCTTGTTGTTATCAGTAATGACGCAGTTAAGTGGAGATTGGTTATTTATCACAGGCCAAGGAGGATATGTTAGGTCATGGTGCTCTTATTATTAATTTGACTGCAATTTATGTTACAGTGCTAAGTAGGTCAGCAGTGTTGATTTGTTGTCTATGGTACTTGTTTTGGAGATTTTTGCTACATTAAAGAGGAAAAAAGAATCCTGGGGATCAACTTAAAAAAGTCACTTGTCTTTTTAGCATTCCACTCCAGCTTGTGAACTCCAGCAGCCATTTTTCCTGACACACATGGGCACCATGAAACTGTGGAATTTTCATCGTCCTCCCCTGAAGAAGTATTCCCATGGACCCATGTCTCAGCAAGGACCACAGACCATACTGCCTCTACTGAATACTATAACGAAGGAAGGCAATGGTGAGTTCTGGTTGATGGTTTTAGAAGTAAATCACACAGATATGTACTCGTGTTATTGTTGCTTGGTTTTGATCCCTTTTTTAAGTCAAAAAGTGTGTGACATTACTGGTAGAATGGTAAAAACCAACTTCGGCTCTACCACAAAATAACAGGCCAGTGTCCAACTTGTCTTTTCTTTCAAAGTTTGTCAAGTGTGTCGTCTCTGTCAGATTTTTTTATCAGTAATGGTAAAGCCTTGTTCTGACATGTTACTAGTCTTTCTCAACCTGTCATTGGCTTTTGATACTAACTTGTTATAGAAGAGCATTCAAATAAAAGGCACATCCCTTGAATATCTATCAAACATAATTAGATTTAAGACATCAAATAAATATATTTATTTATTTAGTAAAACTTTCCCAAGGCTGGCTTTATTTCTTTTAGAATTATGATGTTGACATAAAATAAATTCAGTTAAGTTAGTTTACATTAAGATAAAGTTCCTGTCTGGCTAATATTATTACAGGTTAAATAAACTTTGTAGATATAGTGTTCGCTTTAAATTGAGCCCAGTTCCTATGATGATGCATTTTGGCTGCTGGTTAATTTGATACTGGTCAGACTGTTGTATATTATAACAAAGTGCATATTAAGCTATATCTTTTCACGCTTGTATATTTATGTATAAAGGCATTAGTATATCTGCATATTCCAATCACCTACTTCTGTTTGGACCAGCTGGAACAGGAGCAGGGCATATTTCTTGTTACTGTTTGGCTTTAAAGCTGTTTGTATTTCTCATTGCTATAAGAAACTGGGAGTGATTTGAGTACTCTTAATTATTCTCAATGTTTTTAAAAGAAATTTTTGATCTTGATACTGAATTAAGGTGGCAGCCTATGGCTCTAGACAGGGATTAAAAAAGATTATAAATTGCACTGTATTTCAGCAGTTTAATTCCAACTAGAAATATCAGAAAAATAGCATCTTCACGTCAACTTAGTTTCAAGCAAAATTTACATCTTTTGAATCAAGAGAAAAAGTTGGTATACTTTTCAAAGCAACATTTATTACATAAATTTCACCTCCATTAAAAGTGTCACTTAACCATTTGCATTTGAGAAATTGTTACATTAGAAATCTTGTGGTAGGTGGTATGTATGTTGTACATAAGTAATGCCCAGATTAAGAATAAGATGTTCATGGTATGGTAAAACTGTCAGTCCTTCAGTATCAGACAGATAGTAAGCCTTTGGGACTGGTAATAATGAGGTTCAAGTAAATTCTTTTGACTGAGAATAAATATTCTTTTAATTTGTTATGAACCCCATTTATTTCATTTTTAAGTTTAATATAATTGAAATGTTAAAAACTGGTACTTATCCATCTGGTCTGACAGTGTCCATAACATTATAAGTTCATAACTAATATGATTGACTGTCAATACTAAATTTCTAAAAATATAGAATAATGATTATTGGTAGTAAATATAGTTATTTCCACTTCTAAATATGAAATGATTACAGTACATATGTTGAGTAAATAAAATATATGTATATGAATTTATATACATTCATTTTTTAAAAATGAAATAATACTCATCATAATTTTTAAAAACAAATCAATGGCAATAACTATCCCCAAATAGATAAAGTTAATATTTGTAACCTGCATTTGATGACCATACACTGAATATGGGGCATTCCAAATTTAATGGACAAGCTTTGTATACTGATGCACACCAGTGTCATTTCACTTTATTTCTTATTACTTATTAAGCAGGTTAAGTTCTCTTACACGTAGCAGATATGAATAAATACACAGATATCTCAGTATGAAAACTATGCAACATTAAATAAAGTAGATAATAATTATTAATACCATTAGTTGCTTCAGTTTCAGCAAGGCTAAATATATAATTAAGGAAACACTGAAAACTATTTCCTATTGATTTGAATATACCATTAATATAGACATTTGATCACCCAAATGATATTTATTATTTAACCAAATAAATGTGTAAATGTATGCATGTGTAGATACAAACTCACATTTAACACTCTCCAACATGAAGTTCTAACAATAAAGTTTACCATCAAATATACAAACAAAAATACATTTCAACTCTTCAGTTATGAAAGAAAATCCTGGCACAAAGTGTGGTTCTTTTGACACCCTCCCCTCTCCCCCTGAGCTCCCCCGGCTTCATTAAAACATAAAAACCTTTGTTAAACCACCACTCAATAGTTAAATTATCAGTTAATGAACTACCAGAATTATCCCACTGATAAAGTGACCTCTTATTAATACATAGTGTTTTCAGTCTATGGTGTTTGTGTTTCCACTCTGGTTCTCAACAGTTGAAGTCCAGTGTGGGCTCAGATCAATATCCTGTTGTTTTTATTCTACAATCTCACATGTAGGGGCATATAGTGTACACTTTTAAGATGGGACTGGTTGCAGAAGTAAACAGTGAATTATAACTATCATAACTATGATTATTCAAGTTTTCTGCTATTTTATATCCACACACAGTGACACTTAGGTGTAAACTCTTACTAATTATACAGAAATAAAATCATTTTAATATTATAAAGACAAAAATCTTATATTTAGCACCACATTCACATTGTTATATGTTCCATATTTACACACACAAAATGATTAATAAGTCAGCAAAAATGTTCATTAGTTTACTGGTTGGATCATACATAAAAATTATCGGACACAAGCTGAAATATTTTCTTCACCGTTAGTTTAACCAGTGAGTGTAACATCTACTCACATCAGTCTGATGAAGGCCTTTGACCAGGTTGGCAGTAAGCTAAAGGTATGGAAAATATTTCGGCCTGTGTCTGATCATTTTTAAGTATGATTAATAAGTCCTTTGGGGGGGGGGGGGATATGAGTTAGCCATGCACCCACTCAATTATGTAGTTATTATGGCTGTGCTCAAACAAAGAATAAAATACACTATCTAGTTGTTCTCCACAGTATACATATCCTTGAGATTTTCGGGAGGAATTCTCGTAGAAGTTAAGACTACAGATAAATTTCAAAAGAGGTTAAGAATATATAGAAACATAGAGAATTAAGGACTACAGAGATATTTTCTGAAGAAGTAAGGACTATATATATATATATATATATATATATATATATATATATATATATATATATATGGGAGAAGTTTGGTATATGGATATATTCTTGTAGAAGATAAATATGGATTAATAGATGAAGACTGCCAAAACGCAGAACAAATTTTGGCATAAGTATATAAGCTTAGCACCTAGCTAGGCTTTATTTCATGGGCACAATTGGGGTGAAGAAAGTTAAAATGTGTAGTTACATATTTGAAGTGTACTGCATGTAAAAGAGACTAAATGCCGGCATTTTCAACATATTCAACATACATCTGTCTTGAAAGTTCAACCCCCTTGTAGAATAATAAATTTTTCCCATTGTGTTGAGTAACACTTTAAATTACAGTTTCATGTGTTTTGAAGAGTTACATTACAGAACGTGTCCATTTTTTAAGCATTCAAAGCTTGCAGTACACAACCAACATTATTATGAGTCAGTAAAAAAGGGTATTTGCAGTATAACACCTATTCTCTAATTTTCTTCCATTTATTTTTATATGCAAGCTTTTTTTTTATTCACCCATTTATTCCAGTACTTCCCTGGTATTGTTGTATCAGGTAGCCCTTTAAGAATGTTTAGATGCTAGACTCTCTTTCCTTACTCATTTCACTGATGTTTTTTAACATATTCTACTGCCTCTTTGAACTGCCCCATTTTTTCAAGTAAACTAACAATTACTTTACATACCATATCGGTATTAGGGTGTTTGGGACCTAGGATCTCTTTTCTCAGTTTATGGCATCTTTTTAAATATGGAAGTGCTCCTTTGTAGTCACCCATGATTTGTAATAAGTAACCAATATTGCCATATAATTGGGCAGTATTAGGGTGTTTGGGTCCTAGCACCTCTTCCATCACTTCTTCGCTTTTTTTATAATAGTCAAGTGCCTCTTTGAACTTCCCCATGTCTTTTAGTGTCATACCAATATTGTTGTATGAGGTAGCAGTATCAGGGTGTTTGGGACCTAGCAGCTCCTTTTTCAATTTGAGGCATCTTTTTAAATATGGAAGTGCTCTTTCGTAGTCACCCATGGCTTTAAGTACATTACCAATATTGCCATATACTTGGGCAGTAGTAGGGTGTTTGGGGGATAGCACATCTTCCATCACTTCTTTGCTTTTTTTGAAATAGTCAAGTGCCTCTTTGTACTCACCCATGTCACTCAATACATTACCAATATTGTTGTACGAAACAGCAGTATCAGGGTGTTTGGTACCTTGTAGCTCTTCTCTCACTTCTAGGCATATTTTGAAATTGTCAAGTGACTCTTTGTACTTTCCCATGGCTTGAAGTGAATAACCAATATTGTTATATACAGGAATAGTGTTTAGGTGTTTGGGGCCTAGTTCAAGTTCCATCACTTCTTTGCTTTTTTTAAAATAGTCAAGTGATTCTTTGTACTTACCCATGCCTTGCAATACATTACCAACATTGTTGTATGTGGTAGCAGTATCGGGGTGTTTGGGACCTAGCAGCTCTTCTTTCACTTCCAGGCATTTTTTGAAATTGTCAAGTGACTCTTGGTACTTACCCATGGCATTAAGCATATAGCCAATGTTATTGTATGACACAGCAGTATGAGGGTGTTTCGTACCAAGAAGCTCTTCTCTTATTTCCAGACATTTTTTATGATAGTCAAGGGCCTCTTTGAACTTACCCATGGTTTTCAGTGTACAAGCAATATTGTCGTATGAGGTAGCAGTATCAGGGTGTTTGGAACCAAGAAGCTCTTCTCTTACTTTCAGACATGTTTTATGATAGTCAAGGGCCTCTTTGTACTCACCCATGTCTGTCAGCATACAAGCAATATTGTTGTATGAGGTAGCAGTATCAGGGTGTTTGGAACCATCAAGTTCTTCTCTTACTTTCAGACATTTTTTTTGGTAGTCAAGGGCCTCTTTGTACTTACCCATGGTTTGCAATGCATCACCAATATTGTTGTATGAGGAAGCAGTATCAGGGTGTTTGGGACCTAGAAGCTCTTCCCTTACTTCCAGACATTTTTTTTGATAGTCAAGGGCCTCTTTGTACTTACCCATGGTTTGCAATGCATCACCAATACTGTTGTATGAGGAAGCAGTATCAGGGTGTTTGGGACCAAGAAGCTCTTCCCTTACTTTCAGACATTTTTTTTGATAGTCAAGTGCCTCTTCGTATTTACCCATGGCTTTTAATGCACAACCAATATGGCCGTATGTGGTAGCAGTTTCAGGGTGTTTGGGACCAAGAAGCGCTTCTCTTACTTCTAGACATTTTTTATGGTAGTCGAGTGCCTCTTTGTACTTCCCCATGCTTTGTTGTACTCTACCAATATTGTTGTATGAGGTAGCTGTGTCAGAGTGATTTATACCTAAGAGCTCTTCCCTTATTTCCAGACATTTTTTATAATAATCATGTGCCTCTTTGTACTTTCCCTTGTCTAAAAGTAAAGCACCAATATTGTTGTATGAGTTAGCAGTATCAGGGTGTTTGGGACCTAGGAGCTCTTCCCTTACTTTCAGAGATTTTTTATGATAGTCAAGGGCCTCTTTATACTTTCCCATGGTTTGCAGTACAACACCTATATTGTTGTATGAGGTAGCAGTATAAGGGTGTTTGGGACCTAGAAGCTCTTCCCTCACTTCCAGGCATTTTTTGTAATATTCAATTGCCTCTTTGTACCTACCCATGGCATGCAGTACACAGCCAATATTGTTTTGCAATTCTGCTTTTTCAGTTGGTTGACCTTCAAATTTTGTGTGCATTTCTACCTCGACTGACTGAAAAATCGAAAGAGCTTCTTCATTCAGAAATAGAAAATGGAACGTATTTGCAATCTCTTGTAGGATATTGATTTTGATTTTTTTCTGTTGTATGTTAGAAGTGCAGAGTTCCATTTTAAGCAATGTGGCAGTCATGTGTAAATGGGGCACCAGTTTTGACATATTTTCAAAAAGTGAAGCTTCAACTGTATCCACAATGTATAGCTGGAGCATAAGCCTTATGTAATAATCACAGTATTTCTTTCGTGTGTGAGAGATTTCATTGCTGTCAGTTTGTGCAAGAAACTCTGCATACTCCTTCACCAAAGGATGCAGATCATAGGTATTTTGGACCAAACTCAAGAGTGATTTAGCACTAAGATTGTCAAGGACAGATTCACATTCATCCTCATCCATCTCCAAAATCTCTGAGACTTCTTTTGAATGGAATGCAACAGGAAATATATGCAGTCCCCTAAACACCTTTTTCTCTGTGTCATTCAGTGTTTCGTAAGACATCTCTAAGCAGGTAAGCATACCTTGTGATGCAGGAATGTTAGGTAACTGAAGAGAGGGGAGGACCTTTATGCGTTTCATTTTCTCAAACACTTTTTGTACTGTTTTGAGCTTGATCTGGGTAGCTGCTAATTTTAGTGCAAGGGGATTGTGGCCACATTTCTCTGATATTTCACCTAAAGCTTCTGTCTCAGTATCTGTGGGGCTGATCGTATTTTCCCCCCAAAGGACTTCACTTGAAGATGTTTTACCAAGAGGAGGGATGTCTATAGTAACTGTGGTTTGTGACGGAAGACTGAAGGATTCACGACTGGTGCATAAAAGAGTGATATGTTTTGATGAATTCATGACTTCCTCTAGTAACTGCAGAAACTCTTGCTGGTGTGAATTCAAAACACTGTCATTATTATCAAGGATAAGGAGAGTGTCTGTTGCTAAATTAGACATAGTTTGTGTAAATTTGTTCTGATAATCACTGTAAATATCTTTCAAAAACTGATTTGGGTGATACTGCTGCACAAGTGATAATTTAACAGAATCAAGATTTACAACTTTTCTCATATCAATATGCAAGACATCTTTTCTGACATATTTTCTGTGATGTCCAACCTCAACAGCTATGCTTGTTTTACCTATGCCCCCCATGCCAGTCAGGAGAATGAGTTTTGTGTCATTTTCAACATGCTGCAGTATTTTCTGCACCAGGTCCACTCGTCCCTTCAGCTCTGGAGTTCTACTTGGAAGGTTAGTAGAGATGAGCTCACAAGGTGCTTCTGAAATTAAAAATAAACATGCAAGAAAGATCTTAACCTTCATGCAAAACAAGGCAGCAAAGCTGTCAAATGTACAGACAAAAAACAGAAAATAATGATGCAAAATAGGTCATTTTGTCAATTTTNCCTGCGTATTATACAAATTCATCAGTTCTGTAAGTTTCAAACCAAAAGGTAAAACGGTTTTCCACTTATCGTGTTTACGGTGTTGCATATATGCTGAAAAAAGTGAAAAAACAGCATAACTTCCCTAAAAATGGCCTGATCATGCTGATTTTCGAACTTGACCTGCGTATTATACAAATTCATCAGTTCTGTAAGTTTCAAACCAAAAGGTAAAACGGTTTTCCACTTACCGTGTTTACGGTGTTGCATATATGCTGAAAAAAGTGAAAAAACAGCATAACTTCCCTAAAAATGGCCCGATCATGCTGATTTTCGAACTTGACCTGAATATTATGAATATTCATCAGTTCTGTAAGTTTCAAGTCAAAACGTAAAACCGTTTTCCACTTATCGTGTTTACGGTAAAAGTGCACGCCAACGGCAACGGCAACGGCGACGACAGACGCAGGTGACGGCTATATGTACAGACACATCTGTGTCTGTACATAAAAAAAAAGATTATATTGAAATTTTAATTTTACATAATTTAAGTATTGGGGTAGAGGTCTGAAAGGTAGATTTCATATTTTAAAACGGACGTCTGGGGAAATGAATTTTGTACTTATTTCTCAACTTAAATATCCTTCTTTAAGTTCATACCTTGGGGAACATGCAGCAGAGCACAATCCCAAGTGTACTGTGAAGAATAGTTCCTCTCATTGTGCACATTTCTTCAAAGTACACTGATGACTTTAAACTAAAAGTTGTCTTTATTTATATGCTGTGGACAGTCAGTATAATAGAGCACAGTCCCTCTTAGCCAAAAAGAGCAGTTTCTCTCACTATTCTTCATTGTATACTCGTTATCTGTTAAACATTTCATACCTGCTGCATGCAATGGATCAGTAAGCAACTTGTCATAGTCATCACTGCTGTAGATTGTGGACAATGATAACAACAAAGCTTTCAATTCTGTAAACTGGGTCTGAAATGCAGCATCTGTGAGACTGGCGCCCCCATGGGAAAATTTGTTACGGTATTTCTTCACTCTGCCAATCTGGGCTTCCATAGACGTGTCACTTGTTGGTGGATTCTCCCAACTGCCCTTTGGATTTAGTGTTGTGATATTTCTTAACAAGACTACTGTAAGAGTCACATCTAAGTCCTTCAGTGTAACAGTTGTAGAGGGATTCCCAGAAGGGTATAGCAGCTTCATTTGGCTTGCATTCAAAACTTTCATTTTTTTCAACTGTAACAAAGTTTGATTTGCCTTTTGGTCAGTTAAAATATCAAACAACTTGCCACCATTTGATGGATCAAACAACCCTGGATAAGTTGTTAGTAACTGTGTACTGAGGACATCTTGAAGCACATCTTGTGACCGATGTATCATTAGCCCCATACGCATTGTGTTTTCTATCTCATTCCGTGGAATGGCAGCAGTCGCCATTTTGTCTTAGTTCTGGAAAAATATAATGTCTCAGTGTGAAACAAGGAGGCACTGGTGAAGGTGTTGCTGGCTTTTGTAAACCACCACAAGTAAGTGGGAAATTTTGCTTGAACACTTAATTAAAAGAATGAGCCCTTTGTACATTTACCTGTCTTTAGAAAAGTCATACTAGTTCCTTGGGAAAGACATGGCATATTTTATTCAGGTGGTCCTGAAATCCTTTTCTTTTTAAAGAAATTAAAATTTCTTAAAAGCAAATTTGGTACGAATTGTCATTGGTAAAGGCATAATTAAGTTAAATTTAAAACGATGAAACATGAGCCATTGTCTTTCATTACTACAAAATGTTGAGAAATTGTTGGTTTTAAGAATATTATGAATGGATGAAGAAGTATTCAGAAGTGAAACAAGGAAGTACAGGATGAATCCAGAAGTGAAACTTGCAATTATAGGATGTACCAGGTCGGATCAGTATATAAATGTGATTACTGTATAGAAATGATTTGAGTGCACACTAGCTAATATCTGGTTATAAAATTTTTAATAAATTGCTGTCTTAAACTCACCTTGAAATGGATAAAGAAAAATATTGTTGGGGCGAATGAGAACTACGCCTCTGTCACCTGATGTAAGGTTGTCATGTGACATATGGGTATTCACGGTTAAAAAGAATTACTTTTTATCTAAATAAAAGATTAGCCACCAAAGAATGCAAAATCTGACTTTGAATTGGTAGATAAAGCCAACTTCTAATCAAACTTTCCTTCCTTGGAAAATTTTCAATATTGTATCGTCATCAATTTAAACTATTTGACATAAAAATGTCACCTTGTTGTTATCAGTAATGACGCAGTTTTGTGGAGATTGGTTATTTATCACAGGCCAAGGAGGATACGTTAGGTCATGCTGTTCTTATCATTAATTTGACTGCAATTTATGTTACAGTACTAACTAGGTCAGCAGTGCTGATTTGTTATCTATGGGTACTTGTTTTGGAGATTTTTTGCCACACTAAAGGGGGAAAAAGAATCCTGGGGATCAACTTAAAAAATCACTTGTCTTTTTAGCATTCCACTCCGGCTTGTGAACTCCGGCAGCCATTTTTCCCAACACACATGTGCAGCATGAAACTGTGTAATTTTCATCGTCCTCCCCTCAAGAAATATTCCCATGGACCTTTGTCTCAGCACAAACCACAGGCCGTACTGCCTCTACTGAAAACTATAAGAAGGAAGGCAAAGGTGAGTTTTGGTTGATGGTTTTAGAAGTTAAATCACACAGATACGTATTCATCATATTGTTGCTCTGTTTTGATTTTTTTTAATTCAAAATGTGTGATATAAGTCTACCAGCACTGTTAGAATTGTAAGTACAATTTCATTAAGCTGATACAAAAGTGATAAAAAGGTACAAAATAAATCTTCCATCTTTGTGTCTGTGGATGTCTATGTCAGTTTGCATTGTTTGTATTAGACATAAGTTAAACCTGCTAACAAAGCTTAAGTAAAGGTAAAAATGATTTAAGTAGGTTTTTTAAAGAGTGTCCAGTTAAATTAAGTAATGATAATCTTTGACTTCCAATTTATAAATGTTACTTTCAGATGAGAGAACATGAGCGACTGGCCTCTGAAGGAGGCGATATGTTTCTCCTGAGAACCCCGCAAGATCTCGAAGGGATGGGTGGAGAACTGATTTTGGCAGAGTACGCGGAGGAATTCCCATCTATCCTCATGCAAGTTGACATGGCAACCAAGATAAAGAATTACTACAAAAGGGTATCTTTCTTTTGTAAAGTTTGTTAGTGTTTACCCAACTGTTAAGATCCTTTTCACTAAAACATCATATTTAGGTGACTGTTAGTTTCATCTTGGAATATACTTTGAAGACGAGTGGTTTCTAAAAAATAAATAAATAAATAAACTGAAAATATAGCACTTCAAGTTAGGTTTTTAATAAAAGTACTGGGATCCCAAAACATAACCCCCAACTCTATGTTAAACTCTTGGACATATGTATGTAGCCTAACTGTCACTCCTTTACTGATATGACTCGGGTCCTAGGAAAAAATTGAAAAATAAAATAATAGATTAATGAATGAAATGGAGTAAACAGAAAAATCAGCAAAATGCAAAAGGGCAGGGGGAAGGGGGAGGAGGCAACCAAGGGCCTATTAATATTGAGAAGAATATTAATCAGGCCGGTCCATCAGTCCTAAAATGTAATTACGCTATTTACCCTCTATTTCTCAATTCTCCACTGGTTCCCTTTCTGCTGTTAAGGATGGTCCGTATAGGCGACTCTTGTACATATTACTTTTACATGTTATTTTACATATCAGGCTATAATTTAAGTAACCTGTCTCTCAAAAAGGAGTGCCCACTGAAGTGTACTAGTACCTCTCGGGGTGGAGAGGCCCTCGGGCGAGGACGGGATAGATCCATCAATCCCGCGTCTTATGATGCGTCTTTTTTATTGAGTTATATAAGTCTGTGGTAATTCTGTAGTTGGACAGCGTCTCAGAGAGCCTATGAATATGAACAAATTTAATGCTCGATACAATTGTTATAATTATTAAAGATAATTAGTGATAAGTTACAACGATAAGGGACTGTCCGACTTCCATATCTCTTTAACATCATAGATAACACGTCTGAGGGGCATATCTATATGTCATGTAAGTCACACTGGTTTGTATTTCAATGGCGACGCAGGGAAAGCATGGCACGACTTAAACAACTCCATCGTATATTTGTTGTCGGATCATTATTTGCAGTCACTTTATATCTTGTACACGTAACTATCCAAAACAATATATTTTACCGTGATTCTCTCCATTATGGAGCACAAAAAGGTGAGTTTGTGTTGAATTTTGCTGTGTTGTGGTGATGTCCGATCGAGAATGTGGAAGATTTCTAAATCAATGAAAACAGGAAAGCTTTTCTAAAAGACTGATATATTTCAGGCGTATGCGTAACGACATTTATGACCTCTTCATTTTTTATTTATAGTGAAAAGGGTGCTTTGATCTAAATGCGACATGTTTTGAATCAGAAAATTGCTTTCATAGTAAGATAATGCATTACAATGGTTTTAAAAAGAACAATACCAATATAATGTACATGTAACTCTCATTTTGTTTATTTCAGACGCATACTCAGATCTGAAAAGAGATTCACAGATTGAAAAGAAACAGGTAATATTTCTATGAAAGCTGGGCTTACAGTGTAGGCGACATTTCAAAATTTGCCTTAGCGTAATGAGGCTGTTTTATTTCTTGCTCTTCTCTGCACGTAAAAGATTTCCTAAAAAGATTTAGTTTTGTTGCTGTGTCGTTCAGTACTTAAATTGGAGCCCCAAGGCATGACGCGTAAAATAAATGGACGTTTTGGTTATACTGTTTTAATGGTTGATGGTCATCTTTCCATGTATCGCCAACTTTGGGGGAGTGGTGGTGGAGAGGAGTTACGGGGCTCAGTCCTTTTTTTATCAGTCTACATCAGTCATAAGCAGAAGATGAATGGGTAATTAGGCAGTGCGAATCAAACCCTTCTCACGGTTTCTTTTTTTTTTTTTTTTTGATTTTGAAAGGATACCTGCCTCCCAACACACACACACACACACACACACACACACACGCGCACACACACACGAAACCTGTTTTCTGCGCTTTGCACTCTTGAGCAGACCTACACCCTAGGTGAAGTGACGAGTCAATGATGGGAATAATAATAATAATAATAATAATAATAACAATAATAATAATAATAATAATTTAACAATAAAAATTCAATAATGGGAATTAATTTCCTTTGCATGATTTAGGGTGTATAGTGGCTTACAGCAATTTGGATGGCTGTAAGCCAGTGATATTACCAAGCGACGCCTACAGAAAAGACGCGGGAGTTTGTATGACAGACTACGGCTAAGGTGTCAGTTTCAACATCTGTTAAATAAAAATTTAAAACGTATTTGAACCTAAATCCCCTAAACAAAATTATTTTTCCAGACAAGCGTGGACCAGAGTCATTCTGTTTTTTCTCGATGGGATGCCATGGAACTCGGGGATGTGTGTGTTTTTGGGAAACACAGGCAGAAGAAAGGTCTAGAATGCTACTATATCTATCTATCTATCTATCTATCTAACCAGATTTCCTAAACTGTACATATCTTATTTTTCATGAACATTTTTCAATATATAACTGCTTTCAGATGCAATCAAACTGTGTTCTCCTTGCACCAAGTTTAACAATTTGAGAAAAAGAAAGTTTTGAAGAACAGAAAAAACTTTTTTATTCTCTCTGTAATCTCAGTAAACATGCATTTTACAGTACTGTCCTGTTCTGTCATTCAACTTTACACTATCTCATATTAACAGTTGGTTAATATTTCTCAATTGAAATGTTTCAGGATTTCTTACCATTGGTATTCCGTCTGTCAAACGAGCAAAGGGGACCGTGTATCTGTTGCAGACGATTTCTTACATAATAAACATGACGTCACCAAGTGAGAGGGAGAAAATTGTTTTATTGGTGTTCCTGGCAAATTTTGATACACAATACAATGAAAATGTCTTGAAAAGTATCAGCGCAAAATTTGATGATTACATGAAGAGTGGATTTATCCTAGTGATGCAAGTTCCAGAAAAAAATTACCCTCCGTTAGAAAATTTGAAGAGGAATTATAATGATTCTCCGGAGAAAGTAAAATGGCGATCGAAACAGAATGTTGATTATGCTTTTATGTTTCTGTACGGAAGAAATATTTCAAAATACTATATTCAGATTGAAGACGATGTGGTTCCAGCCCGTGGATTCACCAAAGACATACGTGCTTTTATCATAGAAAATAGCAAAAAGCCATGGATATGTTTAGAATTTTCCATTCTTGGATTTATTGGGAAACTGTTCAAATCCAAAGACCTGGAAAAATTTGCAAGGTACTTGATTTTATTTTACGACGAGCAACCTTGTGATTGGCTTATCGATCATTTCCTAACTTCGATGACTCAGAAAAAGCGCATCTTCCACAAACAGTCTTTATTCCAGCATCAGGGGGACTGGTCTTCTTCGGAAGAAAAGTCGAGGAAAGGACCTAATATGTCGCGGGACATTTACTTCAAAGATAAACAAGGAAAAACCACTCAAAGGGCGCCAAAAGGAAAGTCGTGACTTGCAATTACACTTCTGTAGCTTAATACAAGGAGCAAAAACGTTCTTCCAAAATATTTTTAAGTAAACTTTTTTTTTTACTTTTCAAGATAAGAAGGATAGAGGTTGTATTTCGTGGTACGAGTACGGGCACTACATTAACTTTTTTCAAATATGCATATCATTAACTCTACGTATTTTGTGTACTGTCATATTGACATATCTGGATATAGATCGTCAGAGGATTAGTCAGCGCGTTAAACAATCAACTTAAAATCAAAGAGATCTTAAATAGTAAAACAATTACTTGGAGACAAAAAAAGTTTGTTCCCTGACAGAACTGACGCGGACGGAAGAGCACAGAACTAACTGGTTATTTCATGGGTTAGTAAAATAATAAGAATCCCAGTTAGCATTCCCGGGGAGATTTGTGTCTTCCTCGATAGTGCTTCGTAGTTCTTCGGTCCTTTCGCTATATGGGCTACATCTCCTACACATAAATCCAAATCTGCATTTATAGTGAGAGTCGATAGCATTTTGATGAGAAGTAAAATATGTAAACATATATTGCACTTGCATGTCGAAAATTGTATGCAAGATTTAGTCGCTGCACAATGTTTTCAATACAATAAAATTCTGTGTAAAACTGTTGTAGCTCACATTTTTGTGTGAAATATAAAGTGCGTTTTGCTTGAGATTCCGCCCCTTGCTAGTTCAACACCTATAACAAACAGATACCACACAGATAGAAGTGACCATACCCTCCTACATCATAAAATTATCACTTCTTTGATCTCTTGGATAACGAATTTTTGCTAACGTTGGGCTTTGACAATATTTGATAGTTAACATCAAATTCATACACCAGTGTTAATGAGCTAAGTTAAATGTTGGAGCCTTTTCTTTTGTTTCACATCTGTGAGAATGGGCAAAAATTCGTTTTCCAGGCGATAGCAAGCTCTGTGTACATGTAACAGGAGCTTCAGCAGCATTAGATCTATTGATCAGTCTATGTTTTTTCATAATTTTGATATGCTTTTTCGTCAAAAACTTTCTGATCCCAAAAGTTTAAACTAGCGCTTTTAGTCACTAAAATAACGAAACAAAAAAAAGTCAAATGTGGTGAAGAGAAGAGGAAATACTGAAATACGATGTAGGCCTAAAGACCTAATAAGTACGCTAGACAAGACACAGCAATCAGTTCTAAACTTGAAATTAACTGCATGGGAAAAGGTATAACTAAAAAAGAACTTTCTATGATACACGTACAAGCCGTCATTTTAATAAGCGCCCCAGACCCGTATAAGCGTTCATAACCTTCGCGTTATGTGTGGGACCGAGCGTCAGCGAATACTCTTTTAGTTTTACTCTTTATACAACGTTAACTGGAAACTGTAACGGTGGCAGTGAATGGCAGGACCAGGCCTACGGCAACTACAATATAATCTTGACACCAGACTTCTTGTTTCATATTTGGCTCCGTATATTTTCCAAATTATTTGTCATTTTGGTGAAAATAGCCATTTATATGCTTAAAAATAAAAACGCACAAAAAATGGCGTACGTTGAAATAACTATGATGGGATTCGGGCAAAAATTATCTTGCTATCTTACTCGAATGGAATATCTCATTAGTGTGAATTTAAGCTACCCCTGATTCATATTCGCAGCAAATATAGTATGTCCATACATGTAGAAGCAGTCTACTTCTCTGGTATGTCTTACAACCCAGTGTGAACACAGCAAAATGAGTATTTTTGTCAACTTTCCAACATTTTAACAGTATTGACTTCGGTGCCGGTTGCTTGTGGCCCAGTGGTGATAACTTTCAACACAAAGATGCAAAATCCAACCTAGAGATAACACAATATCATATAAGGCTTATATTACATTACATTATTATAGTACATCTTTTTATTACGTTGTGAGCATACTAAAACATTTAAATGCACAATGTATTAATAAATGAGTATCACGGGTTACATTTGCCATAGCATTGAAGACCTGCATAGGCGTATTAGTCCTTGTTAATTATACAAACCACGATCATCCACGTACTTAATATATATATAAACAGGTGTGTCTTTGGCAAGGAAAGTGGTGGAACTATGGCAAGGTTAATACTATTACAGCGTTTAATTGCTGTTGGGTTTTTATTTGCAGTCTGTTTATATATTGTAACAGTCAAAAAATTTCACAGGGAGGTTCTGAGTAAAGGGGCGCAGAAGGGTGAGTTTATGACGAACTTCGCTTTACTTTGGCTGCAGAATGTCTTGATCTTCTTCTCCTTCTTCTGTATCTTTCGGGCCTGTCCCTTTTCAGGGGTCACCAAGGCGGATTATCTGTCTCCACCCACACCGGTTCTGCGCATGGTCATCTTCCACTCCCGTCTCTTGCATATCCCCCTTGATCGGATCCATAAATCTTTTCATTGGCCTCCCTTGTTTCCTCTCTCCTGGTAGTTTCATTCCCAGCATTTTTTTTGTCCCACATATTTTTCTTCCCGCCGTCTAAAATGCCCACAGCAGTGAAGTATCCACCCCCTTGCTTTGTCACCGAGTTTTGTCTTCCCTAGGATCTCCCTCACCTTCTCATTTCTCACTGTTTTTGCATGTAATCCTTAAGTGCCATACCTAAAGAAAAGTGTAGCATCTTCATCCCCCTACTTCACTTTCTCTTCTTGGTTTCTTGTTATTGGTACTGTTTCCATTCCTGATATAGCATATATGTTTTTATGCACTGGCGGATTTAGAGGGGGGGGGGTGTCAGGGGAGTCCTGACCCCCCCCCCCCTTTCGGTTTCTGAAAAATATATCACACCAATATTCCCCTCTTGAAATTAGAATTTTGACTGCTATTTCTAAACCGTACCAAAGGGCACTGTTAGTTCTCCAAATTACCAAAAAATTTCCGGGGCCCTTGAGCAGGGCCCCAAACCACACACCAAGGGGGCGATGGTCGGCCTCGCAACCGAGGCCTGTCGTTCCGGACCCCCCTTCAAATAATCCTGGATCCGCCCCTGTGTATGTATGCAATTAGCTCAAAAACACTAATTCATGAATCTATAATTCTGTTAATATTTATAATAGAGGCACATCAATTTGCAACACATTTTGAATCAAGTAATAGCTTCAATTAAAGATAATATACATGCAATTCAATGGTTTCTCAAGGAACAATGTAAATCTAATGTAACATTCACTTTGCGTATTTCAGCCTACTCCTCAGATCTGAATTCATATCTACAGATAGAAAAGAATCAGGTAACGTTTCTATGAAATGTGTCGGCTCCCTAAAGATATAACCCCTGAAAAACTTTTATACGCGTTCGTGGAATTGCCAGCACGTTATAAATCGACTCGGCAGCTTAAGGTGCACTGTTATGTCAAGCAATTCTAGGGTGTGAAATATTTGCAGGATTGAACAGGTTTCTAAAGACAAGGCTTTTACTGTTAGTGATGTGATATAATGGATGTCGAAATCTTTAAAATATACATATATAAATCATTACCTTTCAAGTCATTATACTGTATGATATTATGAGTACAAACTTCAAATCGGGTTAAGCCAATATTTTTTTAACTTGAAAGGACTATGGGTGCTTTCCCAGAGATTTAAATCGATCTAAAGATTAAGTTTTAGATCGACCTAACTACCTGGGGGTTCACGCTAAATTGCAGTCAGCCGAGCGGGCACCATAGTTTATTATCCCCTTACAGCTTTTAGTAGGCGGGACGGACGCTTAAGCCGGCCAAGCTGACAGTAATCTAGTGAGACTCCCCACAGGGATAGATCGATCTAAAAATCTATGGAAATGGGGTGTATGATCTTTAAAAAAAAATTAAAAATTACACTAAATCACGATCTAATTTATCACGTTTTTCTTTCTTGAACCAATCCCAGCAGGCAAACGACATTGATTCTACGTTGATTCAACGTTGATCCACCAAAATTAACGTTGATTCAACGGTGACTCAATGTCGTTTGCCTGCTGGGAATAGTCTAATTTTTCCACACTTCTTACATAAAAGTTGCCAAGCAAAGAATCTCCTCTCTCCCTCGGGGTGGTGGGGTTACACAGGCATGAAGGGTATCTCTGTGACTTAAAAAACGGAAAATTATTCCTGTTTTTTTTTCTTTTTAAGAAGAACTCCAGTAATTACATTGTTCTGCTGTAAAACCCTGGTCCTCACACGATGTATTTAATGACCGCTATATATTGCTCCTGAACTGGGGTTGTGGCACAAGGTCGCACTTACCTACCAGTATGTCTGTTGACTAACGCCCTGTCTCCGTTAACTGCTGACTCGGCCTGTAAGTTATTGAACGACTTGAACGTCTTGTATACCAAAGTCTGCATTCAATAAGTTTATGTATCTCTATTTTCCCACAAGTGACAAACCACAGCGTTGGAACAATGACTAGAGAATGTGTCAGTCGAGGATTTTGCAGGGTAACTCACACGATGACTACTCAAGGACGTACCGCCATAATTGCAAGCATGCTATCTTTTCACTAGAACCTCAATTTTTACCCGGGCATAACCCTAACATTTTTGAGCAGTACTAGTACATATTACTACTGTATCCCGAGTGGTCAGAGCGGGCCCTTTGGGTTATCTCAGGCCCCATTCAGAATAGGGGACTAACTTGTCCGAGGGTCAGATATGGCTGACCATGAAATAAAAACCATTTGCTTTAAGTATTGTTATTGGTGCGACTGTTGCAAAAGTTTTCAGAAATTAAACGATTCCTTTTTAGACAAGTATGGGACAAAGTCCATCTACGCGTTCTCGATTGGATAATGTGGAACTCAGGAATGTGTCTGTTTTTGGGAACCACCGACAGAAGAAAGGTACAAAATGCTAAGCTGTATCTCTTTTCCTACTTTACTTTTTCCTTCATTCGGCCTGCACTCTTTCTCTCTCTCTCTCTCTCTCTCTCTCATCGCCTTGCATCAGATCTATTTTCGAATCAACACCTTTTGAAAGAAAAATGTATAATATGAATGCCAAACGTTTTAAGTAAAACAGATACAACCCCTTTTCTGTTTGTTCGTGATGTTTCAAACCTTTGCATTAAGTTTAACAATTGGAGTCAATGCTGAGTTTTAAAGTTTAAATCAAATACTTCAAAGGAAAAACGCTTAATTCTTTAAAAGGAAAACTGATCGATTACGTGACCTCTTTACTATGACAGTCCAGTCAAATTGGATATTTGCTTTCAAATGCCTTTGTCTCCATTAGATTGTAAAGCAAATGATATTAATTAACTTTTAGGTTTCCTTACCATTGGCATCCCGTCTGTCAAACGACCAAAGGGAA